TTACAGCATAAACCGGATAACGTTACCCATTGCTTTGCAGGGGGGGAATTTTATAATACAACTGATAACTCTTCCTTTGGTCCTTCCGGAGGTCCACAAAGATAGATTCAATTACGTAATGAATTAGTGAAGAACAATAAGAAATGACTCATTCACACGATGGGGATAAAATATTGCGGGACTCTCACATATTAATCAGTATTCCGAAGACACTATATTTGCACGTATCTTTCTTTTGTGATTCTTCTCCTTCGAGGAAATTCAGTATTAGGTGTACATAGAGTAGCCGTGACATGTATATCGTAGTAAGCAAAATATGGCACATTGTAAAGCTTTTCTGTTTCTTCTGTTTTTTCGCATTTTTCATTACTTGATGCTCTGTGGAAATTTCTAAGAAGATTGAAATGGAGGAAACATTCTTTTTCGGAAACATGACATATTCGTACACTTCATTGATTCTACAGCTTCCTTTACCATTCTTTTGTCATGTTGTACAGAATATAGAAATTACGCAATCACGCTTCTTTAGGCTCGGCTTCATAAAATAATTCCCCAAAAATTATAAATAGGAATTAATTTATCGTGCATATTATTTCTAACATTGGCCCCACATGTTATCTCATATAGAATAAGAGGGTATATTGGGGGTGATTCACATAATTCAGAACACCATGCCAACAGCGTATTTTTTCTTGCTTCATAATATGTCGGCAGTACATGAAATCCGTCTATAAATAACGAGGAACCCATATACTACCAAAGGAGAGGCATCTTCTCGACAAGGATTAAATCCCATAACATGCGCCTTTGATACAGTTCAACAACACGACATGATATATGCTATAGTTAATTTGTCCCAATTCCTTTTTTCCTCTTCGGACACGCACGCCTCCAGCTGTATATTATTAACAAGGCATAATAGCACCTGTTTCTATTTTTCTAGTGCGAAGAAATAGCTTTTAGATATGGCTGAAGCAGTTCACGATCAACAAGAGGGGAAGAGTAATTAATCAGGAGGAAACGGACACTGGAAGCGGGAAAACAGGGAGAATTTATAGATATCCTCTTTTAGCCAAAAAAAGATGGTTAACTCAGGGCTATGAAGCCCTCTTATATGCGGTACATAGAGATCATTTTGTGCCTCTGTGGAAATTAAGATTATATGTTACACTTTTCGATAAATGAATAAGTCATGTTTGAAGCCCCAGAGTTTTACTAGATGGGCGTATCATGACATAGCAAGTACTGTATAATAGTACAATTCCTTTCTTATCTTGTCTCTGTTGGTAACGGCTTTTCAATTTCAATGTACCCCTTTATAAACAAGTAACTAAGAGGCTACGCCGTAGCTCATGATGAAGAGAATGACCATAATCGGCATAGCAGCCTCTTCTTCACATTTTATCAATATAACACGCATTTATAAAAAATACATATGTTCCGCATTCGACTGTTATGATTTTATTGAAAGAGCAGGCTGTTTTCCAACTCTAAAGACGCAGCAAACTAAAGTCCAGATTTTCTCGAAATGAAATTTTTTGGCCTAAGACCTATAATATACGGACCCACCCCAGTATTCCATCTACTTGTTCATGAAATCTGTGCACTGTCTGAATTTTTCCTTTCATAAGACAATATTTATTTATTACATGATCCTTCAGGACATGCACAAATTATCCCGGAACATATCGGGGATGAAAATGTGATGTAAAACAAAAATGTCAATATAATAAACAGTGTAACATAGGTAAGATTACTAGTTCAGAATATTTACCTTTAACCGATCTAATGAACGATAGCATTGATCACCGGGAATCCCAGGCGAGATATATAAGAACACATCCTGCACCCTTCTGAATAATAGTAATGAAGTGTACCACCAAAATGAGACCCTCATCGAACGTGTTCATTCAAACAATATGCTAGGTGATTTCACAAACTATTTCATAAATGTCCTATCACAACTTTTACCCCCCAAGAACAGCCCAGACACATGTCTTATGTGAATATGTTGGGTTCTTTGATCGCCTATTTGACCATCACTACATGTTGTGGTTCTTCTTTGAATCCTGACTATTTATACGAAAGAATAACGTAAGCCTTAATAAGAACGGTAGAAGTGTCCTGCATACTGTGAGAACAGGAGTGTGCACACGTCTTCCGCAGTATACCCCCTAATGAAAAGGATTCTTCCTGTGACATACATTAGGTTAGCAGTGGGGAATACATTGTCTGCATATGCTAACTACTCCTGTTCTGAATAAAGATCTTATACAGAAGCAACTATTGATACTTTTTCATCCGAACCAAAGTGTATTACAACTAATCCCTATGACAATAACTCTCAACGCCCAGGTTACTATTCGGAACTTCAATGAGGTGCTGTGACTCTGAATGTGAGGACGCCACTCACTAAGAAATAGTCGGAGCACTGGTCAGGATTCCAAGATATTTAAGCGTCCATCTGGAACGTGGCATCCCCGTAAAACACCGAATTCAACAGTAGGTAGAGATGCGACAATCTCAAGGTTTACTGGAGTTCTCAGTGCTGAAAGGTTAAAGGGAATTACAGCGGGTGTAAACACGGAGAATATAAGTGTAAGATAGATACAGATTGGGAAGGTATACTTACCGTCCGAATTATTCAATTTCCTGATATTGTAGGTACAGATTGAAGGTCTCCCGCATTCAATCCCCCTGCCGCGGATATTACCCGAAGGGCGTCACTGGCAGCTCCTTGTATGAGTAGGTTCACTGTATTTTATCCACCTTAAGCTGTTCTTCAGGTATCAATTTATGCAGATCTTTCACAATCCATCCCACATAGGTTCCGCTTTGTAGGGAGTAAACAGTGTCCTTAAGTGCAACGGATGCTCCCTCTTCTGTTATTATACCTACTACTTTTGGGACAGGGAACTGGCAATCCTAACGACACCGCACACGCGGTGTAGTCCCGCAAACACTATATAATGATGCCATTGCCTTTATTGAGGTGTTATTTATTAGCCTAAAAGTTGGGCGGCCCATTACAGAGGTTACGTTTCTTATGGAAGTATAGATATATGTATATATATACACACGCAGAAAATATCATTTACTGCAATGTGGTCACTATTTAAAAGACGCCAGGGAAGCGGAAACAACTCCTCGTTCCAACTTTTTCCCCTAGAGCAATACACGCGCTTAGAATCGCAGTTTCCCCTGAAACACAGAGAGCGCAGAGCCGGAAGAAGGGTACACATACAGACAGCAATGTTTGGCCATGACTGCCAAAAAAAGAAGGATATATGATAATGACCACGTACCATTGCGCGACCTTGAATATGAGTAGTTAATATGTAATTAAGACATCCCAAAGAGTGTATACATGCAGAATGAAAAACAAATGTTCCGTAGAAGATTCTATATATACATAAAGAACTTTTAGATGAATCAAAAGAGACGAGTGCAAATTGACCATGGAGAATCTCCTCCAAGTACTCGTGCATACATTTATGATAAATGAAAGTGTGATAGGTAAAATTACTTGACGGAGAAACCTAATCCGGATAGAGGCGCACAATTGTGGTAATCTGTACATACTAAAACATTAGTGGCATAGTTTGGAACATAAATACTCGTATATTTCTCATATGCTCAAGGAGAACAGTTACTTTCACAATTTAGCGCAGGCACAGACAAGCTAAGAATAGTGTCTTCAGGAAAATGTAATGTCCGAAAGCAATCAGCTTAACGAGAAACCGAAGACTCCCTTCATACAAAGGCGAGGAAGTGTATGTGGCAACTATGTTTCGAAACAACACATACATATGAAACAGTACATTCCAGATAGTTCCTTCCACAGACTTATGAGGCTCTACAATAAGGAAACACCCAAGTATGTAATACATAAGACAACCAATAATAAGGCATGAGTAGGATGCGATAAAGAGAAACAGGATGTGCATAATCACGAATTGCGTGTACTTACAGATGGGAAAGTACATAAGGAAGGGTGGATACCCCTATTCATGATGCTCCTGGATGGATGCAAAGAGCAATAGGATTCACAACACGTGAAGTTGTACATGAGCGGCCACATAAGAAACCGTTTGGACGACGACAATATGAACAAGTTCCCAAACATAGCAGATACACACAGAATCTTTTTGCGGATGTCAAGGAAGAAAGAAACGCTGAGTATAAAACACAGAGATTTACAGGCCTCATATAGGAGGAAATAAACAAAGAATAACACAGGAGCGCTCACCATCATGATTATAACGTAGCCGGAGGAAAGCAGATTCAGAGGCGAAATAGGACAGGCATACTTACATGTTACATTGGAATGGTGTTCATCGAAATGCCCTAAAGTGAGATGACCTGAAACAACTTTGATAAATACAGAGTACAGAGACATGCGAGGATCTCCTACCCGGAAAACAAAGGGGGCACGTCCTTCGAAAAACACGGACAGGAGGTATGTGAAATAGTTAACACATTAGGAAGATAATTAACCCTACTGCTGGTCACAATTGGAATGGGAAACACATGTCAAAGGCAACTCACCAATTGCGACTCATCCTCTAAGGAATATATCTGGATGCCGCGAAATATTTCATCTACGTTTCTATGCCTCCTTCGTGTTGAATGTCCGGGTGGATAAATTTTCCGTAACATATAGAGAGGAAGGAATGTTCGGATGCGGAATGCGAGAATCGCTATTTGTAATAATCCCCCTGGAGGATTCCTGAGAGTAGTCCCCTTATTTGTTCTCTTAAAGACTCGTTATACATAACAGCCTGGAAACATACGGAACAGGTGGAGAAAGATCACTGTCTATTTGTTTTATTTACTGATAAACATGGCATATTGGATTCTGTATTCCTCTGCACCTACTAAATTGGGCGCCACTGTTTTATCAGACACACGGAAACGTGGAATTTATAGAAAATGCTTAACTCCACCCTGGACGGTTCTGTACGAAACAGGGCACAACCCACTCAAGACACCGCAGTAGGAATCACACATTGATAAAATATCCTTAGAGATAAAATCATAAGTTAACAGTAGAAAAAGAAGAAGAACAAGCAAATATAAGTACCATAGCATTCTCAAAGGCCAGGATGTCCACTCCTTACATATCAGATCAGTCTGCCGTAAAGTTGTAATTACTTAACCGCCTATCATTCATTTATGAACGTAAATAGAAGTTATGCCATTTTTTTGCCATATCTATTGCTCCAATGAGAGAATAATTAATGTATGTGTTACTGATAGAATTGAGGGCTTCCCTAGTAGGATGGAAAAAGGAGGAACTTTCTGCTTATATCTTTGCGAAACGGGATTCATCAAATTTGACACGGAAGAGGAACATTTAGAAATATGGTGTCTCTGGAGCACGTATGTTTGTGTCTCAATAGTGATCATGATATAACCCATCAAGTAAAATACCACCTTCTTTGTTGAGGTCCCTGTTTCATCTTACCAGCATATATATATATTATGCTAACCCCTGCATTATATGGAAATGTTTTAAATCACAGGGTGTCCCCTCTTTTCCGATAGGACAAAGCAAAACAAATCGATAAAACAACAACTCCTCTAAGTCCGAAATCGGACCTCTCGTTGTTGTTCTTGGGTCATTCTGTTGGTACCACTCCTTATAAGGAAGGGACACCCCAACACAGACCACGTCATAGGAGGTTCATTCGATAGACTGACTCATGGATCAATCCTTTCTTGACAAAGACGCTCTTCCACAGATAATTATGGGAACAGAATGTTCCTATTCACTATCTGACTTGGGACAATCTATGTCCTTTAACAACCATACATGGGTGGCATCACTAATAATTAACAGACAAACAGACTAATAAAATGGAAGAAGGTACACATTCTAACACAATGTAGACTGTTCCTGGACCCACTTGATGACATAACATATTCTTCGGGGGATAACTAACATATGGAAGTAGGGTAATCATATAGGGGATATAACCCCTTAGTGCACCCAGATGCACACAGAGGGGCCGATTCATGGTTGTAGACGATGGTATCAAAGTGGCTGGGTGAAGAGCTCATATTAGTATAGCTCACTTCTCAACCCTAAACCCTGAACCCTAAACCGAAGGCTTACTCTTAAACTCATCCTGCGAACCTTATGAGGGCGATGCTTCTCCAACCCTCACGGTTCTATTCTGAGGGCGGACATCCCCACCGCTGCTATTCCTCCTCTCTGTGGTATTTCATAACTGAGGTGCCGCGGGGTCCCTAATCTTGTCCTCCCCTCCTTTGACTTCCTTCTTCTGCCCCATATCCTAAATATTCCATACGCTGCTGCCACTGCAAGTAACAAAACCCCCAATATACCACCCACTACTCCGCCTACTGGGTTATTTGTTCCTGTCTCTGAGTCGTGGGCTACGGTAACGGGCCCGAAGTTCTCCGGTTCATCCGTCTTCCGCTCATTAGTTCCTGTTGAGCTGTTGGATTCATCGGACTCCCTGCCAGCACCCCCTTGGTCCGGCGGTGTGCCCTGAGTTCTTGCCGAACTTCTTTTTCCCGCCTCCTCGGGCCCTTGGGATTTTAGTCCGCTTATTTTCTCCTCTAGTTGATTACTCTGGGCCGCTTGTTCACTACATTTCTTACTTGAATCGGGTGTTGTGTTAGAGTTTGATTCAACACACTCTCTTGCCTCTTCCTTTAGGCCCAGTTCCTGCAATCCTTTGATCACTATATTATTATTGCTTTGCCTATCCTTCTGGGGTTGTGGAATCTCGCTCTCAGTCATACTTAATACTGATTTTACTGCATCTGAGTGTCCTGTTCCTTCTGCGGATTCTCCCTTCTCCGGTGCTAAAAGAGCCCTCTCCAGCCATAATGCCCCTCCTGCGGAGGGGGAGTCTGTGGTTTTGTCACACGTGAAAATGCCCTTTGTCACGTTACAATATAAATTGGTGCTTTCCTTAGGTCTATTCTTTGATTTCTTAATCCATCTTGTCAGCTTATATGGACCACAATTTGGACATAGAGCTCTTAATGCCCCATATATGGTCACTATTAAGCTCAGACTGGGGTCCTGACAATTCTCATATGCCTCCTCAGTTGAGCACTGTCCGCTATCCCTATCCTTCTCGATTCCCCTTCTTGACTTCCAACTGTCCCAGTGGTCTTCATCAACGACTAAACCCTTATCGATTGTCTTACAAAGGATTTCTCTGTTGGCATACTGCTTTCCTTCGTCTTGCTTATCCGCAGTTAATCCTGTTATTATGCAAACTACTACCATAAGCACTGCCTTTCCTTGGGGGTGGGTATTCCAGTCTATATTCTGTGTTCTTGGCTCTCCTAATATCTTATACCATTCTGGCGCTGTCCACAACATCGCGAGATTGGTTTCGGTCTTTTCTATTATTAAGTTCGCTTCGACTTTGCTCATCACTTTATCCACTACCTCGCCCCAGTTCAAGAAGCCAGATCCAGTACTCCTCAGATTGGTGTTCAGAGTTGGGTTGAATTTTTTCCCCCACTCCGGAGAATGCGCTCCCAATAATTTTTTATTTAACCATTCCGTCAAACCGGCCCATCTTGAAACACCTCCCCTTATTAGTCTGGGGTAACAATATCTTCTTGGGTTATTCTCTGTACATCCGTGCCCCTCTGGAACCGGATATCCCCATTGCTTGTCGTCTGGACCCCATCCTTTTAACTTCCATTCCTTATTTAGATTTTCCCCCATTACTGCTACTTGAGTTTCTTCTATCTGCCCAATTGGGTTATTCTCCCTCAGACTTAATCTGATCTTCCTTCCACAGTTGCCTGAGCCTCACTCACAGCTGCCTCTTTATTGGGCTCCTTGGGAGTATGTAGCCATGGATTAACCTTGAGTTTTTTTCTGGCAGAGATAGTCTTACTATACTCATTGGTATATACTGGGCCCCTTTGGTTCCGGGTGCTGATTCCTGATTTTTCCCTATTATTTCATCCGGACTCTTCCAATTTACTCGCAATTGGATTTGTCCGGGAGTGAGTAATCTTGCCTCGTGTTCCTCCTCCAGGTCCCGCACCGCCCCCCTGTTTCCCTCTGTACCTCGTCGTCGCCCCAACTCACTAAGTCCCTATATCTGTTACTCCTATCCTGCTAGGGACTTTTGCTTTTTTTTTAACTGCTGCCAGTGCTCCTATCTTCACGTCGCTTAGGAGCTCTGCTGTTAAAAATATCAACTTCGGGAGATTTCTCTGTTAGGCTCCTTTGGGTTTACTGTACGCTTTCATTTCTCTAATGGCCTATATCTAGTCCCCGTTGAATCAATTCGGGCTTCATTCCGTTCCCTTATTCTTGATATACTCGTATGTTACTCACTGAGGGGGTAGGGGCACTTGTTGTTTATCACTTCGTTCATTGGTCGGTTGCGTGAGGTGTCATTAAGGTACCCTTGTTAGCTCGGATCTCGTCCTGGGGATACTCCATATGGAAAGGGGTCTGACGTTGGTTTCTTTAGGGCTAATGTTTTTCCATTCTGCCAGAGATTTTAAGCCGTTTGGAGATACATGGCGTGGGGGGTAATGTAAAGTGAGAGGGTTTTGTTGGAATAGTTATGTTCATGCTTTGTACCCTTGGGTTCTCTCATGGATCCTGATGATCCGGGATTTTATGCTCTCTTTCTTTATTATTGGCTATTAATCTTACTTGTTGTTGTTGAATTCTTGCTGCATTCTATGCTATCTGGCCATTACTTCTCCTGTATCACTCACCTTAGCCGTTTTTTCCCTGTGTTCCTTCTATTCACTGTATTTAATGGGAGGAGGGACTTGTATCCGCAGGCAGTCAATTTGGCTCCCGGTTGCTCTGCTATCCTTATTCCCACACATGCATTCTGTTGTCGGGCTCCATACGTCCTTAAAATACGCTTACTGTTGGGAACAGCTAAATATTGACTCGGCGTGTCCCCCCCTTGTCCTTGATCACTCAGCAGGGATCTGGAAGAAGGCTGCTTCTGGGTCCCTGTTTGAGGAGTTATGATTTTCGCTGTAGGTCATTATTCCTGCAGGGAGGGACGTGGATTCTGTTGCGTCGTCTGTTTTTTTATTTCTCGTTGGGAATAAAACATCTACTCTCTCGGGTTATTTAATGACTCCGAATTCTAATGGCTGAATATTCCCTTGTGGTGACTCTAAGGGAGTAGGTTGCTCAGTTTACTGAGGTAGTCCTAGTATTCGACCTGCTCCCTTCTTGATACTTCCTGTGCCACAGCTAGTGGTTTGTTATCCCCCTACTGGATATCAGGATTCTTATGTTACTGACATTCTCGTCACTAGACTATCTTTTATACTTGTTCACCGAGATGTATTCTGTTTTAGTCTGAGTTTCCAGCAATTCTCAAGCTCCTTTTGCTAGGTGGGGCTTATTTCTCTATACGCCCGTTTTCTGTTTGAGTTTGAGTATAGGCCCTGTTGTTGTAAGATGAGCTGTCCTCATTTGATATCGCCGTCCGGTATTTAGCCTATCCTTCTCCGAATTACGGAAATATATTATTCTCATTTTTTCTCTTCTTATATATTGTGGGACATATTCGCTGTTGCACTTCCCCCTTCTCCGAATGTTTATAAGAAAATGGCTCCTGTCTGTTGACATTACTCATATAGGGGTTACTATTCCCCCCTTGTTGGGGGAAATTTGCCTCTTATGAAGTGGTTTCCCATCAAATACTTCGGGGGGTAATCAGTTGTTCCTGAAGTTCCTCCGTACCCGCCGGTGCGGCTCCTCCTTTACCTTTGCTCTCTCCTGGGATTCTCCGGTTTGATTCTTTGTCCTCGATTTTGCGGCCTCCCGCGCGTAGGTTGAAAGATAATCACTTCCTGGTGGGATTCCTCAATTTTTGGGGCGTTTCCCCTTGTTCGTTCCCTCTCTCTGTTTCCATACTTGCGGCTCAAGCACAGGTATCCTTAATGCTTTTGCTTTTCTGCTCTATCTTTGCTGGGGGGGGTCTTAGCTGTTCCTTATCTTCTGCCCTTGAGTTAATCATGACGCCTGTAGAAAATACGCTGCCTCTTTTACTCAATTCATCCACTGTTTCCTTAGTCTCCTCCTCATTTGGTTCAGGGTTGGGCTTTTTCTTTCATCCTTATACCACTTCGCTGATATTACCACTTAGCTCCGGGGGTACTTGGGAGTTGGCTCCTTTGGGGCCCTATTTCTGCTGCTTTCTTTAACAGGGTTCCATGTCTGCCCAACATGCTTCTCTATTATACCCGGTCCTCCTTGGATGTATTCCTTCTGATTCACTCTATGCTGCCATCGGCTATTACATTCCCTGTTCACTTTACTTTTTGTTTTTCGCTTTCTGCTAATCTTCACTGTCATGTGGGCAACTAGATCATATAAACTTAGGCTGTTACTTATTTTTCCTCTTTGGGCTTCCTAGTGCCTGTTGGTGTGGGGGATATTCTCCGGTTGTTCCTGACTCCACTTCTGTTGAGACGCTCAGCTCCTAGGGACTAGATTTTATAGCTCTCACTATCTGGAATTTGTTATAACTATCGCTTCGGCCGTCGGGGTGTTCCACACAACCAACCACTGCTAATTACTCAAATCACACTGATCCAGGGGGACTATGGCTTCCCCTTGGTCCTAGGTTGAATCATATGCTTCTGTATACTTGCTGTTCCTTCTGTCCAGCCGGAGAGTATTTTGCCCCAATTACTCCTTCTGATGGACAGGATAACTATTATAATAGCTGCTATACTTCAACAGAAATTTAAAGAAACTTATTCAAATCGGTTATATAGCTGTAGGTATAAAATCAGAAGAACCCATTATAGGATATTACATCTTAGTTCAGCCAATACAACAAACCCTTTTAAATTGTGTTGACTTGTATTCCTCCTGACTTTTCTAGTATTCAGTGCGATGTATATTACTTTGTCTTGGATATACTATTATAAATATTCATATATTTCCTATTCTCCTTTAACTCTCATCGTATTCGCCTCATACCCATGTCAGTACCCGGATACATTCTCTGTAATATACGATCATTATCTTATCCTTCCCCTTAGAAGGGGTCTAGTCTATACACATTTAGAACACTCCTTCATTTACTGACTCAGATCCCTTATATGTATTACTCCTTTGAATTGTACTGGTTATCAACTATTTAACAAATTTCCTACATTTCATGATTCTTTGCACAATGGTGCACTGTCCAGATGACGCCTCCTCATTCATCTGTTATTTTGGTAATAGCATGTATTTCATCTGATCCGTATATAATCAGCGACTATTGCTCGACTCAAATCTGTTTAGAGCTTAAGCGACGCCCCTGGATACACACTAATATATAATGGCTTGTTACAGATCACTTTACGGGAATACCATATTATCTTTAATGAGGTATAATTAACTGGATTCATATGGCTATTTGTCTTTATTCAGTTTATTACTTCATCAGGAAGTTGCAGTTTTTCCTACTTTTATATAATCTATGCATTAATATATACGACTATTACATCCATATTCGAATACCATCTGTATTTCCTAATGCTGTATTTGTTACTATCTATACTCCTCTAGAAAATAGGATATCCACAGGATTGAATTCTATTCTTCCATAAAAAATAATTATGCAATCGATTATTTAATTATTACTTATACAGTGATTTGTTACACGCTGCATACTTCCCTTCTCATTCCAATGAATCATCCATTCCTGCACAACCCTCGATGCAAATTTACTCAATCTTCTATTTGTGCAATAGGGTGCGCGTAATTCTAGTTTAGGATTCATTCCTGCATAATTGTCTTTGTAATTCTACTGCTAAAATTCCGGTCCCATAACATGGGGTGTAACTGCAGTCATTCATGTCTTGCCTTAAAAAATTGGTATAACTGGCTTTACTTATTCACTTGCATAGACCATCTTTGTAACAACAGGTAACCATGATGGTCTGCACCTCTCCCTTCTTAATGGTATTGTCTTATTCATTTTTCTTATCCTAGTACTTGGAACCCTACTGTATTCTGCCCCTACTCTAAATACTCTGTGTAACAGTATCTGACTATTCATCCTACCATAGTCCTTAGTTCAAGACAATAGAAGGATTAATCCTTTTGAATTTGGGTTGCTACTCAGGCAGTTTCTTTTCCAAAGCATTTTTGACCTTTAAAAAATAGACACAGAAAAACCACGAGGTTACTATGGAAGAACACAGAACAAGAAAAAAAAAACTACGAAGCCACAAGAAAAATAACCTAAAAATCAGTGACAGACGCATTTGAATATGATTTCATTGTAAACTCTACTCAATGGACAAAATTAATATTACATTCTAAAAAGGCGCTTTATTATGGCGTGTAAAACATGTTCGGGGTCATCAAGGTGTCCCAACGGCTTTATCGCAATTCCTCAGAACATAGATAATTTTGGTATGTACTTAATGATAATTCTATAATCCTCACATGTATATGTACATAAATTCAGATATGCATATATATACTGCTGTAATCACAATGTATAGATGAAAATGCCGAAGAAGAAAGGTTATATACTATATGCATCAAGCCTCCCTCCCGGATTATTTCCCGAATTTTTGCATTCGCCCCCTGTTGCATCATAATGTAATGCAGAAATATCTAATGATTTTTAATATAGAGAAGATTTTCACTATATATTGATGCATTCCTATCCTAAAATATAATGAATACAAACATCTTTGATAAAGAAAGCATATGAAAAAATTATTTATGGTAGAAAAACATCCCTGGAAGGTTTCCCATGAAGGCTCGGATTCCTTCTTTTTCTCTTTGAACGATGTAAAAAAATTAACCGCACTTACAAAACAAACATTGCAGGATATTTGACCCTGCAGCGCAAAATGGAACACATCTCAAATATTGAATTCTGCACTTATTCTTTGTTTCTTTGGGTATTGATCCGGCTATGTTTTTTTTATTCCTTTCTTGGCCGCCTGTTTCTATCTATCACCCATTGCAATAGTTATTGATGTCCCTCATACGCCCCTATTCCTTACGACTGTTAAATTATTTATATTTATGGACATATAATTGTTACATTAGAATAAACATGTGGTATCATCCGATGCATATCCCATACTCCTTCTGGTCCTGTATGTCCTTATTAAGACGCTTTCTATAATCCTTTAACGATTTATCAATTATAGCAGTGAAATAGAATAAACATCCTGAACATGCTTTATTTTTGCAGAATATGATTAAATATATGTTAGGTAACTGTTTTTACGCGCAATTATAAGTTCCAGTTGTCTCACATTCCTGCCATTAGTATAAATTTATAATTTCACTGCTATACTGTTTCATTCTCTAACTAAAATCTTTTCCATATGATTCACCCTAATTCGGGTACTCAGGTAGGAGCCAGAATAGACCTCTTATTTATTGTTATGTAACAAGCAGTTATAGTTCACACGAAGAGGGGGTATGCCTGTCTTGTCTTCCAGTCCATGTTTGTGCTCCTTACGTGAATGTAAACCCAATCGTATTCACCTGTTTCCCACTTCTCGTCGTCTTTCCTTTATTCCACAGTAGAACTAAAGAATTATTGGATGAAACCTTAGGCTTCCTATATATAATTGGTGCAGGCTCCCTTGCAATAACTTAATTTAGGACATATAACCGATATAAAAATTTTCGCGCCCTAAGGGCATGAATGTACTCACACGTTATTCTCCTCATCTCTACGTGGTGATAGTTGTCATGTTACCATTCCGTGACATAAGATTCTTTAATTTTATCTTCCTTTAATTATAAATAACAAAAAAAAAAGAGATAGAGGCGTTGTATGGTACATGTAGGAATGAGAACAGAAGCATAAGCGCCCCTAAGAGAAATAATGCTTCCGTTTTTATATTATCCAAAAGAAAGAATTCATAACTATAACTTATTTGACTTCATCATTGCGTTTTTTAAACTTATGATGATTTCTAAACGCGCGTCTGAAGAATTCTACCAACACTCATCCTTCAAAGATTCAACGTTTTAATGATATACACTCCGCATTACATTATGAGCGTATATTCGGAATATGAATGCTTCTTGTAATGGAAACTTACGCATCATTTTATTACTTACCCCCCAAGAAATACAATTTTAAATCCTTCTTAAATACTCTTAAAAAATAGGTATGAAAGTTTATTCTTCTCAGGCTAAAAAAAATGATATCACGCCCTATTGTGCACAAACAAAATTTCATAATATACGCTATATGAGTTTCTCTTAGCTTTACAAAATTTTCATAAGATAATACTTATATCACGAACGCGCCAAGATCATTAAGAAATGATAGTTCTTAGGTGCACATATACACTATTATTTCATGACTACATCAATGGATAGCTCCAAAAAAAGAATAAAGGAGTCTGTATTATTTCATATCCTGTCCCTTTCTCTTATAATCGCATCAATTAACACCCTTCAAGTAACGGGCAGACTGTGTGATGTCAATAAAATATGCCACATAAATGTTCTCTTCTGTTTCTTTCTGTTTCTTTCTGTTTCTTTCCTTTTTCTTTTTCTCCTTCCTTTTTTTTCTATCTCCTTTCCTTTTTTTTTCCTTTCTTTTTTTTTTCTCCGTTCTTTTTTTTTCTTCTTTCTTAATTTTTTCTGTTTTTTTTTTTCTCTGCAGATTTCTCTTTATTCGTCTTACACGTGCTCCTCATTTACTTCATTTACACTTAATTCACATATAACAGGCCCCTCCTGCGGCAACTCTTGCGTTGGACCCTTATTATGACACTTTAGGCGCCATTCTGATACTTATAATGACGGATCCTTATACACATCCCTGGCCCATTTTACTCGAACCCCACGGGATTTATACATAGCATTACTTTATCCAGTTAACCCTATTGTTTTTATGTAGGGGGGAAATGGAATCCAGTTTTCAAACGTGAAACGGCTCTCCAATTTCACAAATTAATCATTCCACCGTCCCTGTTTAGCACGTTCGGAAATGAATACACACGATATCTTAAATCTATGCCAGCGGATTCTTACCGATTATTGTAATTAGCACTTTCTGAAATTCTTGAATTCTCCATATTGAAGGAGGATTCTTCAAGTCTCATTATAACGAGTTTACC